CAACCCAATTCCAAGAACATTGTCAGTGTCCATGCATCAGTGTCCTGCTGGATCTAAGGTCAGGGACCACAAATATTGGGCTCAGGTTCAGGGGTATAAGACTCAGTGTGAAGATTAGTTGAAGGGTCTTTGGCATTTGGGCTTTGAAGTCTCCGTCATTTTGCATTTGTTGTGTCATTCATCTTGGGCTACATGTCTTCTGGCTCCACAGCATCCTCAACTCCTTTTTTTCCTCAGCTCCTTGAATCAATTTCTAGATCACCAATGGAGTTGAGGGTGTAGCCCACCATGGCATTTTATGGGGCCTCCGCCCCAGATGCTGGACTACAACGCCTGTATTAGACATCATGACTAGATGGGAGTTGTGATGGGAGGTGACATTTTGTTCTGTTTAGTCAGAATAGTGCAATTTGAATTAAGATACCAGGCTTGTGGATATGATGTCTGACTTCAAAATGTCCCTTAACCTTTTCCCAACTTCAGAGCCACTAGTGCTATTGGGTTGCAATTTCCATTATCCCAGTCTGAATGGTAGATAATCAAAAGTGATGAGAGCTGTTTTTCAATAACACCCTGGGCCCTAAATTGGGTAAAAATTAAAGAGCACCGACCACTATGTAAAAAATATAGTTGGCCTCCTGTATCCATGGATTCTCCATCAATGGATTCAACAGCCCTTTGAATGCAACCATAAAGCTGATGAAAATGGCCCTCGATGAACATGAGTTTGACATCCCTGAATTAGGAGAACCACCACACAAGCTTTTTCTCCCACAATATTCCACCCATATAGTAAAAGGTCTTCAGAAGATCTTTAGAAGATTTGTTGACTTGGAATCCAACTGTGTGTCTCTCTGTGTCTTCAAGTCACCTGTCAATGTATGGTGGCCCCAATGAGTTTTATAAGGCTTGTTTTAAAACAAGGAATTCTTAGAGGTGGCTTTGTTGGTTTCTTCCTCTGAAATATACCACAAAACACCTGATATTCATTAATATTATCTCATCTAAGCACAAACCAGGGCAGACCCTGCTTAGCTTCCAAGATCAGATAGGACCTGGTGTCTTTCAGCTATTTTGGTCTCAATAAATAGATAGGGAGGCTGTTGTTTTGCTTTACTGAAACAAAAATAAAGGTGAAGCAGTAGGAAAAGGAAAAGTCTACATTATTGGTGGATTAATTCAATAAGGAAGCCAGGAGTCTGAGTTTGCAACAATGGAACAGGGCAGCTGATGACCAGGACATTTGGAGCAATCTCACTACAGGTCAAAGTCAACTTTCCAGCCAATGTTGGGAGAGACAGTGCCAATCTCTAACAAAATAGCAAACAAGATTTAAACAAGAAAAAAAAACAAGACAAGCTAAAACCACAGTTATTTTTCTGGTTACTGTGGTCATAATTCCACTCAGATGAGCCACAGTTTGAAAAATGTCTCCAATGTTCTTAAAAGGAGATAAACAGGCGGTTCTTTTGGAGTCAAAACCATGCAAAACAACACGGGTTCCTTTGATCCCGCCAGAACCGGCTTTCACAAACAGATCTGCTGAGGCTGCTGTGTGTTGGAGGATGAGGCAGACGGGTTCAGCTTTCATGTTTCCTCTCTCTTTTGGGTAGGCTTTAAGAGTGTTGCTTATGAAGTCTAGTTCACGAACACTTTGCAAATGGGACTGAAAATTCCCTGTGAAAAATAATCTCTGTCATCTAGACCATTGTGGGGATTCACACCCACCTGAGTGACTAATAGAAGCAGCCCCCTTCCCAAAAAGCATCCACGTAAAGATGTGGGAGCAATGCCATGCCAGGTATCACAGACTGGGAACCACATTTGTGGCCGATACTTAGGGTGTATATATGTTGTAGAACTAATGCAGTTTGACACCATTTTAATTGCCATGGTTCAATGCTATGGCATGGTTCTAATCTATGGAATGCTATGGAATGCTATTTGCATCTTCAGTAGAGGAGACTAAAACTTCAAGATTTCATAGCAGTTAAAGTGGTGTCAAATGGCACTAATTCTGCCCCATGATTTAAACTGGGACACATAAGTCTAAGGGAGCAAAGGATTTAATGAGGAAACAAAAAACATCCAATTCGATCAGTGTTTCTCAACCTTCCCAATGCCCCAACTCCTTAATACAGTTCCTCATGTTGTGTTAATCCACAACCATAACATTATTTTCATTGCTACTGTCATTTTGCTACTGTTATGAATCGTCATGTAAATGTCTGATATGCAGGATGCATCTGCATTCAGTGGAGCAAATTTGGCACAAATACCCGATATGCCCACATTTGAATAATGGTAGAGTTGGGGGTGGAGTTGATTTTGTCAATATGCCCAAATGTGAACACTGGTGAAGTTAATGAAAATAGACTTGACATTTGGGAATTGTAGTTGCTGGGTGTAACGAGGCCACTAATTTGTAAAGGAGCCACCACTTTGTAAGGGTTTATTAATTTGATAGCGTAGCTAATAGCTAGTAGTGATATTGACTTGGTCTTTCTTTAATGTGTAGCATGACTTAACTTGGAAAGGAATTGTAACAGAGACCAGGCTTTAGGAAAAACAGTAACAACTTTATTGAAATATAGAAGGAGCGTGATGGTTTCAATGTTTCTTACTCTTAGAGGCACATATCTTCAAAGGTTACATTTGTAACATTCCTTAAACAACTCTGGAAAGGACTCTTCCTTCCACTAAACAGGTTTCAAACTTATTTTTCTTCAAACTGTGTTTCTTTCCTTAATAGTTTACTTCAGTTACACACTTATTCTTTCTTTGTGATGTTTCTGTTGCAATAGAGATTCTCACTGGGTTTCTCTCACCCTTTCTCTTATACACTAACTATTAATATAAATAAGTCAACTCGACTTATTTAAACTACTCAGGCTAAAAGCCAAAACCTTCCTGATTCTCACTACTATAGAATTAGTCACTCCTACAGTTCACAGACTGTAGACTAACTTACTGGTTCTCAACACACACTAGAACTAGCCTCTCCTGTAGTTCGCTGACTACAGACTAACTGTTTTAAAATGGCTGTCCTGCCAAGTGGCAGTTAGCTCCACCCCTGTTTCCATGGTAACCCAGCTCAACATGAGCTGAGCTGGCTACCTTCCCCCCATTTATGCTACTCTAAATACTTACCTCTCTAAACACCTATCTATAACTACATAACAGTAGATTAAAGTTTACACTTCACCACACTGGGATTTATAGTTCACCTACAATCAAAGAGCGTTCTGAACCCCACCAATGATAGAATTGGGTCAAACTTCCCATGCAGAACCCCCCAGGACAAATAGAAAATACTGTGTTTTCTGATGGTCTTTGATGATCCCTCTGAAACCCCCTTGTGACCCCCCCCCAGGGGTCCCAACTCCCAGGTTGAGAAACACTGAATTAGATAGATCTTCTGAAAAGCTGCAAAAGCCAATTGCTTTGTAAAACCGTGCAAAGAAACAGTTCAATTCCTTTATTTCAGGAAAGTCCCTGTAGATATCTGAGAAGTGTATGTCCGCATTCATGTACCCAGTTTTATTTACACGCTATAGATGTTATTGTTTGGCTTTGACTTTTGGAGACCGTACGAATGAGGAACCTCCATGAATCCTCAAGCACTCAGCTTAGTCTTGGAAATCCAAGACAGTGGCTTCTTTAACTGTACTAATCTACCTGTAAAGAGGTCTTCCTCTTTTTCTATTGTCTTCTGCTTTTCTCAGCCTTGTTCTCTTTCCCTATGAATCATGTGGCCTCACAATACGCCCTCCATTTTCCCAAGAGAGAGTGTACATGACCCCCACGAAAATAGAAAAGCCACAAATATAAAAATGCTTTTTTAAAACTTGAGACAATACTTGTTTCTCTTTTTGATGGTACATGGTATGTGTCATCTGAAAATTATCCTCCAGCATCACGTTTCTTCACTGTCCAGCAAATACTGGGGTGATCTTCTCAGTTTTATCACTCCATCCTGCCATAACCTCATCTGCTGAGGATGATGCTCTTCATTTTAATCTAAGTCTTCTATTCCTCCACCCAGATGTATATATTAGGATGGTAGTGGATGGATTTCTCAATAGTTCCTTTTACTTGTAAACTATCATTCCCAGGGCTGATATAATAATGCCCATGTGAGGGGCATCATTATTGTGTTGCACCAACATCATGGCAACAGGAAGAAACTTTCAAAAAACAACTGAGCTTCATAGGGAATGTCTTGCTCTCTAGACCAAGGCCTCTTAAACCTTTTCCAGTCATGACCCTTTTCTGCTGAATAGATGTTGACACCAAGAACTGGGAAGCCCTGGCCCTTCAGTGCTCTAGCAGGAGGTCAGCTGTGACCAGCAGTGCTGTAGAATTTGAAGAGGCACAAATGGAGGGTGAAAGAGAGAAACGTGCCAAGAGGAAGGTGCATCAAGGCAACCCCACCTGGAAACCGATGCCCTCACTGCGAGAGAACATGCGGGTCAAGAATAGGGCTCCACAGTCACCTACGGACCCACCGCCAGGACACCGCACTTGGAGGACAATCTTACTCGGACAATGAGGGATTGCCTAAGTAAGTAAGTAATAGATGTTGACATGACCCTAGGTATATAGATATATAAATAGGTGTAAAAAGCAAACATTTACTGCAAGGCTTGCTAAAGAGATTGATTTTCCTTTTTGTGTATTACAGCTGAAGCATTTTCTGCAGAAACTTTTTACTATTGCTAATTTTTTGTAACCCCAAAGTTGAGCTAAAGGACCCCATTTGGGGTTGGGGCCCACGGTATAAGAAGAAGCGGTGCTCTAGTCATTGTTGGACATCTACAAGCCTATGTGCACGATGATGGAGGAGTAGCCCAACCATATTGCAAGGACCACATGTTTTCCAGATCTGCTATAGAGACACAAGGAGTAAGTGCTGATGAATACAGATAGTGTGGATAACTGTCATGTCCTTTTGGGCATTTCAAGAAACAAAGCAATTTTTAAATTGTTTTGCAGTTTTATTGAGTGGTGTGCTTACAATCTGATATTCAACAGATTTGATTCACTGGGCAGGACCATGTCTATACCATTTTGGATTTCACCTGTCTCATATGACACAAAGCATATCTCATAGCAATGCAATTGAATACAAAAATGCCATTATGCTACAACTAGATGATTCACCCATTTGGGGCACAATAACCAGATCCAAAACCAGATGGAAGTGCTGCATTTTATTTGCTATAAGCCACTTTGTCTTCTGGGGGCTTCATTGGAGTCGTTTTAGAAGAGGATGCCTCAGCGGGTTCATCCCTGGGATTGCTTACGGCAGGCTGCTCTCTTCCGCCTGAAACCATAGTACAAACAAGATGTGTCATACAGGGAAAGTTCATGCAAATAATCATTTAAGGCAGCGGCTTCCACCCAATAAGCTCTCCTAATTATTCTCACACATTAGTCTGGTAGGCAGCTGTCTGGGAACACTCCTGAGGATTAATTCTTATTTGATATCCTGCTACAGATAGATGCTAGATTGCTTAATGTTAATTCAATTAGCTGTGAGTCTGTTGCCAGTGAATTCCAAGCAAAAGAATGTGATGCAACTATTCAATTTTGATACAGCTGGATGATTTCAGTATCTTTAGTATGACTTCAAATTTTTCACAGCAAATTTCCGCAGAATGTGTTGCTCAGGAAGAATTTGGGGCGTTCAAAGTTTTGGTAATTTTTATAAAAACAGACTAACAAAGGGTTGTTGTAGGTTTTTTCGAGCTATATGGCCATGTTCTAGAGGCATTTCTCCTGACGTTTCGCCTGCATCTATGGCAAGCATCCTCAGAGGTAGTGAGGTCTGTTGGAACTAGGAAAAAGGGGTTTATATATCTGTGGAATGACCAGGGTGAGACAAAGGACTCTTGTCTGCAGTGCCTTTCATGTTCCTTTCATGTCAAGGAACATGAAAGGCACTGCAGACTACTTCAACCAGAGAAGTCAGTCATAGCAGAGCACCTGATGAACCAACCTGGACACAGCATATTATTTGAGAACACAGAAGTGCTGGACCACTCTCACAACCACCATGTCAGACTACACAGAGAAGCCATTGAAATACACAAGCATGTGGACAATTTCAACAGAAAGGAGGAAACCATGAAAATGAACAAAATCTGGCTACCAGTATTAAAAAAACTCTAAAATTGCAACAGCACAACAACAGAGAGGAAACAAACAAGGACATCTAATCACCTCTCAACAAAAGATTGCTCCAGGCACTGCCAGGCAATCAAATGCTAATCAAGGTGGTCAGTTGAAACATTCACACCTAGCTCCAGCAGACAAGAGTCCTTTGTCCCACCCTGGTCATTCCACAGATATATAAACCCTTTTTCCTAGTTCCAACAGACCTCACTACCTCTGAGGATGCTTGCCATATATGCAGGTGAAACGTCAGAAAAAATGCCTCTAGAACATGGCCATATAGCCCGAAAAAAACTACAACAACCCAGTGATTCCAGCCATGAAAGCCTTCGACAAGACTAACAAAGGATTACCCACTAAGTTATTTTCAAAAACAAATGCATATACAATGGGCCTTCCATTTTTGCAGGGGTTAAATGCAGAGGACCACTGCAAATGTAAAAAAAAAAATCATGAATAAAAAAAACCCACATTTTTTTAAACTAAAAGAATGCCTCTCTAAGAAGCCCTAGATCCTCCAAAGTGATTCTATGGCTTGTTGGAAGTTGACAATTGGGTCACATTGGAAAACTTAAAGAGGTGATGTTTTAGAATGGGGAGCGGGTGAGAAAAAAGTTAGGAAACTTTTATTTCAGTGCTGAAATGGGGAAGAAAAAATGGCCATTTAAAATGGCCCAGTAGGATTGATGCCATGGCCTACGATATTTGACAGGTGAAGATAACTTTCTTGTCATGTCACATTTTGGGATGACAAGAAAGGTAGAGTCCCTTCCAAATCAGGAGTGGTATGGGACTCAACACCAGGGGCCTAATGTTCCCCACTCCATGAGATACAAAATCCTAAAGCTGCGCATTAAAAAAAAATAGAGTCACAAACTTACATCTTGCTGACATCTTGAGTGTTTTGATATAATCAGACCAGAAGGAACATTCTGCCTTTTTCAGCCCTTTCTGGTTCTTCAAAGAAGCAGTAAATTCTTTATAATTGTCTCTGCCAGCGTCTGCTTGAAACATAGGCCAAGGGGATGCAATTCCAACCACTTTTCTGGAGAATTTATAAGGGCCATTTGGGTTTCTAGAAAAGGAAATGGAAATGAATGTCTTATGATTTAGCCAGCCTCCAACATCAACAACTTATGCAACAACTATTACGACATTAAAGAGTATAAGCAGCATATGTTTTCATTCTTTGCATTACTTATTGCTCTGGAGACTAGGGTGTATCTACACTATAGAAGTAATGGAGACTATGTTGTTCTCCAGATATGGCCTAAAGGCACCAGACCCTGTTTGGCCTTAGAACCTAAGCAGGGTCAACTGTGGTTAGTACTTGGATGGGAGATCCCCAGATGTGGTTGGACTACAACTCACAACAACCCTATGCAGCATAGTTAATGGTAACAAATCCTAGATAACATCTGGAAGGATATAGGACTCGTAACTATGCTTTTGATGCACTTTGAGGTTTCTTCCAATTACGTAATTCCAGGATACATCCAACCAATGTAATCACTAGACCTAAAAGGAATGTTTGGGGGAAACTACTGTAATTCCACCATGACAAATATGGGATTTTGGAAAAATTCCTTTTGGAATTTGAATGTGTAATGAAACACAAAGATATATGAACTGGGGTGATTGCCTCTTCTTCATCTGGTTCTTGTCAACAGCCTCAAGGGATGTCTACTTTCTTTCTTCTCTTGAACTTCCTCCAATTAGTTTCATTTGTTCCACTTCACTCGAAAGCACTAACAGTACTGAAACATTTCATCTATGCTCATTGAAAACTGAGGTTTAATGGTTTTTGCAATGTCCTACAAGACCTTTTGCTGCTTCCAGAGAACTTGCAATGCTGGGTTTTTTCACATGACAAAGTCAGTTCTTTAAAACACTAGTTTTAATTCAGGGGTGGACAACTGTGGAGGAGAGTGTGGGAACACCTCCATGGGGTCTTTTAGGGCTAATTTGTCCACAACATTTTAGCATTTTTCTCTAAGGAGGTCTGTAGGCTTTATAGGTCACTGACCTCAAAGGTCTGCTTGTGACCAATGGGCCACACAATGCTCACCTGTTTTAATTGGTGAGGACAAAAACATTGATCCAGACATTGCTATACTTAGTGTACATCCATTGAAATTGGCAGCCCTCATATTACTCATGGCTAACCTAAATGTTTTGGGTTTCAATGGGTGTACTTCAATTATGATGAAGACTAGCTCCAACATCCACAAATGTGAAACTGATCAGAACAATGGCTAATTCATATCTGATTTCTTATACAATTTTAATGAAGATTTCAAATTTGGAGGAAGTCTCTCTGTAAAAGTCTATCAGTTATACTTTTGATCCTCTGACTTCACTTTCTCCCTGCATGTATGTCCACTGGTGTTCCCTGAAAAGCTCTTTCCAGGTGGTTACATTGGAGTTTTCTATTAAAGTGAATGCAATTGGTATGCAGCTGTTTGCATGTTACAGAGATGCACAAAGAAAGAGTTCTGGCAAAGGAGCTTTGCAGTGCATATAAAGCTCATCATGAAGACTTTTGGATTACGACACAAAGAACCATTTAATACATACCCAGATTTTATAAAGTTGGCAAAATACTGCATTATGGCTAAGGAGAGGGTCTTTTCTTCTAGAGGATACCGATTTTCATACTCAGGATGGAAAGGCAGCCCAAATGCATACTGGACATCAGGCAAGAACTCTAGGCTTAAACTGAAAAGAAAAGAAAGACACAGAGGAAAAATAAAATGGAAAAAAAAGCCAGAGAGCAAGCACCCTGAACTTTAGACTTAGGGCCACCCTAAATCTGAAACAATTTGAAGGCACACATCAACAATAATCCTAATTAACTTGAGTATCTCAACAGCCTCCACACCTCCCATTGAAATACTGGTAAGTTTATGTTGGTTAAAATTGTTCTTAGTTCTAAATAGTGTATTGTTATCTCATGGGTTTCTCAGAAACACCTCTGTAGGAATCTCTAGGTTCTCCAATGGAATTCTTGGAAAACTTTTGGTGTTGTGCTGAAGAACCTAGGATTCCTAAAGAGGTGCTGCTCTCTCTCAAAAAATAGGTTTTTGGTTGCAGTTCTTCACTTTTGTGAGAGCCCATACCCATCATCCCCACAATAGTAGTAGTAATAATAATAATAATAATAATAATAATAATAATAACAACAATAATAATAATAATAATAATAATAACCACAACAACAACATGTTTAGCCTGAAGAAGAGAAGGCTGAGAGGAGATATGATAGCCATGTATAAATATGTGAGAGGAAGCCACAGGGCGGAGGGAGCAAGCTTGTTTTCTGCTTCCCTGGAGACTAGGACGCGGAACAATGGCTTCAAACTACAAGAGAGGAGATTCCATCTGAACATGAGGAAGAACTTCCTGACTGTGAGAGCCATTCAGCAGTGGAACTCTCTGCCCCGGAGTGTGGTGGAGGCTCCTTCTTTGGAGCTTTTAAACAGAGGCTGGATGGCCATCTGTCAGGGGTGCTAGGAATGCGATTTTCCTGCTTCTTGGCAGGGGGTTGGACTGGATGGCCCATGAGGTCTCTTCCAACTCTTTGATTCTATGATTCTTGCTGAGAATGCAACCATCATGCAAAGACCATCGTATCCTAAATAGCCCCATGTGCACCCGTTTGCTTCTTTTTCTTTTTCAGTGATCAAGGGAGGGAGAAATATGAGAGGAGATTCCATTTGAACATTAGGAAGAACTTCCTGACTGTGAGAGCGGTTCAGCAGTGGAACTCTCTGCCCCGGAGTGTGGTATCTCCTTTAGAATCATAGAATCAAAGAGTTGGAAGAGACCTCATGGGCCATCCAGTCCAACCCCCTGCCAAGAAGCAGGAATATTGCATTCAAATCACCCCTGACAGATGGCCATCCAGCCTCTGTTTAAAAGCTTCCAAAGAAGGAGCCTCCACCACACTCCGGAGCAGAGAATTCAACTGCTGAACGGCTCTCACAGTCAGGAAGTTCTTCCTCATGTTCAGATGGAATCTCCTTTCTTGTAGTTTGAAGCCATTGTTCCGAGTCCTAGTCTCCAGGGAAGCAGAAAACAAGCTTGCTCCCTCCTCCTCCCTGTGGCTTCCTCTCACATATTTATACATGGCTATCATATCTCCTCTCAGCCTTCTTTGGAAGCATTTAAGCAGAGGCTGGATGGCCATTTGTCAGGGATGATTTGAATGCAATATTCCTGCTTCTTGGCAGGGGGTTGGATTGGATGGCCCATGAGGTCTCTTCCAACTCTTTGATTCTATGATTCTATGATTCTATGATTTTGTATGATGATTTTGTATAATGTTTTTAAAATGATTTTACTCTTTTAATTGTAATTTTATGGTGTATGTTGTTAGCATCATTTGATGCTTATGTGAGGATGCCCTGAGTCCCCTTATGGGGAGAAGGGCGGGGTAGAAATGTACTAAATAAATAAATAWATAAATATATAAAATATTCGCCGATACATCACACAGTCCTAGACACTTGGGAAGTGTCCAATGGGTGATCCAATACAACAGCCAGCAGAGTGATCTTGTTTGCAGTGTACTAATCTTGTTGTGTTTAAATAATAACAACAACAACAACAACAACAACTTTATTTTTGTACCCCGCCTCCATCTCCYCGAAGAGATTTGGGGCGGTTTACATGGGGACAAGCCTGATCAACATAGTTAAAATAACACATTTAAAATTCATAAAAACAGCAACAAGCAAAATAAAACAACGGTTAATCCTCGAACCAGGTAGCAATGGCAAAATTCATTCACTGGGAATCATTATAATTTTTTTTGCATTATTTATTGCATTAAAGCATATATATCCCATCTTTTATTACAGCATCTAAGGCAGTGGTTCCCAACCTTTTTTTGACCAGGGACCACTTGACCAGGGGCAACTCTCCAACATTACTACCAAAAGGGATACAAATCAATTTTTGGTCAACTTTAGATTCAGTTTGGTTATTTGGAGTGCTGATTCAGAAAACTGCATTGGATAGACCACATCAGCTCTAGTTTCTGTTACAGAACTTATGCTACCCAGAAGTCGCCATCTGCTTGCCCACAGAAAAACATATTTAATAATCTAGGGCCGCAGACCTTATTGGGAGCCATTGATCTAAGGGAAACATACAATATCAAACAATTTCAAACCTCTGGTGTGGATACTGGGCTTGGGATTTCAAAAAGCGCAAAATAATGTCTCTCTTTGGTCACTTTTCTCCAGCAGAAAGAAGAAATTGCCACTTACCACGCACTTTGCATTCAAAGAACTGTACATTCCTACAAAGATTTCCCATGAAACACAGAACAACTTTGGCCTCTCTGTCCTCTGACCGATCTTAAAACTTCCATAATACATTGCATATGGAAAGGGAGATATTTACTAGCAGTTGACCAAACAGACAAGAGAAAGCTGAAATAAGATTAAAGCATACTTTTCCATCCTCTGTATGTTTAGACAAGGATTAAACTAGATCAGAGCTCAATCATTTTGCTTTGACAATAACATCCTTGCTTCTCCCCTCTACATTACCACAATTGTTGCCATAAATATTGCTTTTAAAGGAGCATGGATTTTGAGGGGAGAAGAGGTTAGGGAATGCATCCCCCAGCAATAGGTCTGCTAAGTTCACCAAAGGATAACTTTCCGCCAGAGCCTGGAAAAGGTATTTCTTGAGACAATAACTCCCCAGACATCCCAACCAATATGCACACTATGTTAAGTAGTCCAAAACATACTTCCAAGGTCTGCTCTTTTGGGTAATATATTTGGTCTTCTATTTATTTATTTATTTTGCATGTTAGCTTTTGCGGTCATGATTATTGGTCAAGAATATGATCATAAGGTCATACTGGAAGACCTAGAGATTCCTAGGGAGTAGGTTCTCCAATCCAAGGTTTTAAAACAGAGTCTGGTTGACCATCTGTCAAAATGCATGGATGTATATTCCTGCATAGCAGAATGAGGTTGGACTGGATGGGCACTCTTCCAGCTCTATGATTGTATGATCCTTTTGCTTATTGATATTCCAGACTAATATGGCTATGTCTTTGAGTTCTTGCAAGATTATTTCACCCTGGATATCATTATTTGGACATCAGTGGTCAGCATTTCCAGTGAATAAATCTCAACCCCCTCACAAGCAATTAATTTTCCTTTCTGGTCCGCTCAATGTTTCCAAACCTCATTGTCTAGCATTGTATGAGCTCATTTTAAGCTCTTTGTTGTCTGCATTTTAGCTGCCCTGTGTGAATAGTTTTGGTTTTAGCTACAAAAAAAAAAATCTTGAATGCATTGGGAAAATGAAGTTGAATGCATTGCCTCAGGGGGCAGTTGTGTTGGTCACCTCCATTCTTCCACCCAGGCATTCAGAAAGGTCAGAAGTGGCATCAAGGCAGGTAGATAGAGGACTTCTCCTCTTAAGTTATTCTCTTGTCTTTTGCCACTCAATTCAGAGAAAGGGGTGCTTTCATTTTTTAGTACTGTTCTATTATCCAGGTGGAGGCCACTGGGGGCGCTAGAGAGAGAAGGATCGTTCATTTTATTGGGAGGGGGAGTTGAAGGAGGAAAACAATTTCCCCCATTTTTGCTAGTTATTCTCCCTTCCACTTCCCATATCACAAAAGAGGGAGTTTTTTTCCACAAAGGGGACATTGGCGGGGGTAATTACAGGAAAACAGGGGGAAAAGGTTTTCTTCCTTCAACCCACGCTCCATCCCCATAAAATGAATTATCATTCTCTCTCTAGCACCTCCTAGTGGCCTCCACCCAGATAACAGAACAGTATGTATGTTGTTGTTCATTCGTTCAGTTGTTTCCGACTCTTCGTGACCTCATGGACCAGCACATGCCAGAGCTCCCTGTCAGCCGTCACCACCCCCAGCTCCTTCAAGGTCAATCCAGTCACTTCAAGGATAGCATCCATCCATCTTGCCCTTGGTCGGCCCCTCTTCCTTTTTCCTTCCATTTTCCCCAGCATAATTGTCTTCTCTAAGCTTTCCTTTCTTCTCATGATGTGGCCAAAGTACTTCATCTTGGCCTCTACTATTCTTCCCTCCAATGTATATGTATATGTATATATGTATATATGAGTTACAACAGACTGGTTCGAGATTGGGAAAGGAGTATGGCAAGGATGCATACCCTACCATTCAACTTGTATGCAGATGTGTGGGGCTTGATAAATCCAAGTTGGACTTAAAATTTCTGGACGAAACATTAACAACCTTAGATATGCAGATGATACCACTTTGATGGCCGAAAGTGAGGAGGAGCTGAGGAGCCTTCTAACCAAGGTGAAAGAAGAAAGTGAAAAAGTTGGGTTGCAGTTAAACATAAAAAAACCAAGATTATGGCAACAAGAATGATTGACAACTGGGAAATAGAGGGAGAAAATGGAGGCAGTGACAGACTTTGTATTTCTAGGTGCAAAGATTACTGCAGACGCAGACTGCAGCCAGGAAATCAGGAGACGCTTACTTCTTGGGAGGAGAGCAATGACCAATCTTGATAAAATAGTGAAGAGTAGAGACATCACACTGGCAACGAAGATCCGCATAGTTAAAGCAATGGCATTCCCCATAGTAACCTATGGATGTGAGAGCTGAACCATAAAGAAGGTTGAATGAAGGAAGAAATACGCTTTTGAACTGTGGTGTTGGAGGAAAATGCTGAGAGTGCTTTGGACTGCGAGAAGACGAAACCAATCCATACTCCAGGAATAATGCCTGACTGCTCACTGGAGGGAAGGCTATTAGAGGCAAAAATGAAGTACTTTGGCCACATCGTGAGAAGACAGGAAGTCTTGAAGAAGAGAATGATTCTGGGGGAAATGGAAGGAAAAAGAAAGAAAAAGAAAGAGGGAAAGTTGGATGGATGGTATCCTTGAAGTGACTGACTTGACAGGGATCTCTGGCGTGGGCTGCTCCATGAGGTCACCAAGAGTCGGAAGCAACTGAACAAATAAACAATGAATAAACAACAACAAAAATACAGTAATTACATTGGCCATGGAAAAGATTTCTGGTTGATTTTTGACAAAATTTTCTAGTTTTCTATTTGAGTATATCGGGAAGATTTTTTCCTTTAGCTTAATTAATGAGGCCAGCCAAAAGATGTAGACTGTCAATAAAATAAGGTAATAAATGATGCCTTCTTTCTAGTAACTCCAAGCATCCTTCAGGCAGAAAGAAAGACGTTCAAGAGACAGAGGATTTCAGCTGTTCACATTTAGGAGATCCCTTGATCTCTGCTGTATGTGATTTCCGATGCAAAAGGTTATAACGTCTAGCCGCCTGTTTGGTTACTGATATCCAGACCACAGAACCATACGTGAGGGAGGCACCTTGGTGTCATTTGAAATATGTGAATGGAATTTATTTGATATCCTTTGAAGAAAGCTCTTTCCTTTTACATGTACTTGCAAGTTTGTCTAAGTTTCCTGGTGATATATTAAGCAAATGATGAAAAGAGAGCATGTAACCCTTCTTGTTTCCTGAGTTGCTTTGCATTGGATTTTACAAAAAAATTGCACTTGCAAAAGAACGTCCTGCACTGACAAGATGCTTGAAGCAAATGTTAGATGAATTCTACTTGATATACAAGGGTACAATTGGTGGGGAGGAGGCTTCCTGTTTCATGCTCCTAGAATCATAGAATCATAGAATCAAAGAGTTGGAAGAGACCTCATGGGCCATCCAGTCCAACCCCCTGCCAAGAAGCAGGAATATTGCATTCAAATCACCCCTGACAGATGGCCATCCAGCCTCTGTTTAAAAGCTTCCAAAGAAGAAGCCTCCACCACACTCTGGGGCAGAGAGTTCCACTGCTGAACAGCTCTCACAGTCAGGAGAGCCGTTCAGCAGTGGAACTCTCTGCCCCGGAGGCTCCTGAAGAAACAGAAGACATGAAAGAAATGGTAGAAATGGTAGAAACAAATTCTGTTCACAACCCTAATAGCAAACCTCATCTGAATAAATCTTGCCAAGAAAACCCAAGGGTAGGGTTGCTTGAAGTTAGTAAACATAGAATCTGATGGACCGAACTGTGTGTTCCAAATCAACACTTTCTCTTTATGTGGATTAGTTTGTAAATGAAATGGATTAGTTCTTACCTGGCCACAGAGGAGCTTTCTGGCACATGGTACATGAAGACATTGCCTCGGTCTTGATCCACCCAGTATTTGGCCATGTCAATTGTGGGGCAAATGATGAAGTGGTCCCTGGAGAGAAAACACCAGAGAAAGTGATGTTATCACCTAGGAAAAAAGGTATGTGTATTGAAGAAGGAAAAAGATCTTGAGCATCCTTTTGCTTTGGAATAGAAACCTAGTATACTAGGAGGTTACATCATATCTTTCTGATGGGAAAGTCTACTTAAAGTTTGAAGGGAAATACGTTGATTGGGAAGTCTGACTTGGTCACGGTAGTCCACGCTCTGGTTACATCCCGTATAGACTACTGCAATGCTCTCTACGTGGGGTTGCCTTTGAAGACTGTCTGGAAGCTTCAAATGGTCCAATGCTCGGCAGCCAGGTTATTAACAGGAGTGGCACTCAGGGAGCATACAACTCCTCTGTTGCGCCAGCTCCACTGGCTGCCAGTTTGCTACCGGGCACAATTCAAAGTGCTGGCTTTAGCCTATAAAGCCCTAAATGGTTCTGGCCCAACTTACCTGTCCGAACGCATCTCCTCCTATGAACCAGCTAGGACGTTAAGATCGTCTGGGGAGGCCCTGCTCTCGGTCCTGCCTGCATCACAAGTACGGTTGGCGGGGACGAGAGACAGGGCCTTCTCAGTGGTGGCCCCTCAGCTGTGGAACGCCTTTCCTACAGAAATTAGATCGGCCCCCTCCCTGTTAGCATTTTGTAGGAAATTGAAGACCTGGTTGTTCAAACAGGCATTTGAATAGGCAGTGTAACTATTATAGAAATATGGAACAATTGGATGATGAGACCGGATCTTGATTTTAACTATGAGACAATATGATATGTTTGATGCTTATTGATTGTTATAATGTTATTCTTTTAAATTGTTCTCACCTGTTTTTATCATGTTTTAAGTATTGTATTTGCTGTTGTGAACTGCTCTGAGTCGCCCGAGGGCTGAGAAGAGCGGTATACAAATATAGTAAATAAATAAATAAGTCCAATGGTTTTCATGGAAGAAGAAAGGGCCCGTAGAAGCTAATCTGGGAAATGGTGGAAAGGATGAGGAGACTGTAAGGGAACCCACTACCACTTGGAGAGCCACACACTCTCAGCAGAACCTGTAAATCCTGTGATAGGGTTTTAACCTTAAGGTCTCCATAAATTGGAAATGACGTGAAGGCACACTAAAACACAGAGGTTCATTGCAGAAATAAAGTCCTGCTGTTGTCATTATTTTTAGGATGGACTCAGTTTCAAAAAAGAGCTCTCCAGCAAAAAAAAAAGTGCAGGAAGGGATTGTTTATTTTTTCCTCTTGATTCTGGGGAATCTACAAAATGGACTTGGCTGAATTGTCCATTCAGTAGATTCCCTTTCCTTTTGGCATTCAAAATACTATAGTGCACATCACAGAAGGCATGCACGTGTGTAATTATTAGATGTGAAGGAAGTGTTGGGGAGGGAAAGAGATCTTCACCAATTTCCCACCATTAGCCTCGCTAGTTACTTTCTTTATTAGAAAGTGGTATAAAGGCTCTGTTGCACATCACGGCACAAAACATGTATCTAGAATTAGATCGCCACAGTTTTGCCTTTGACTCATTGGTGGTCATTATGAGACAGTTATTCATTCTTTAGTGTGGCCTTCTGCCTGCCTGCAATATAGGTTTGACTATAGACTATAGCTCCCATCATCCACATACATTACAGGATGGATGGGAACTATGATCCAACATATCTTGGAGGTGGAATGGGATCCAAGGTTTTGGAAGCTTTGCTCCAGTCTCAACTTTATTTTTTCTGGGTTGCTGTAGGTTTTTCAGGCTGTATGGCCATGTTCTAGAAGCATTCTCTCCTGACATTTTGCCTGCATCTATGGCAAGCATCCTCAGAGGTTGTGAGGTCTATTTTTTTTCTTTTCCCAAATTAGAATAACGTACTCTTTTTTTGTTTTCTTTTTGTTTTGTTTTCTTTTCCCCTCCTTCATATGGTTTACCAAGAAATTATTTCAGGCTCCGAACACTCATATATAGCAGAGGCCACAAAACCACAGTGTTGACTGACCACCTTGTGCTAATCAGCAATTACACGAAGCTATTTTTCTTTTTCTTTTACAGAACCCTAAAATGAATATTCCCTTGACAGCTCAGGCATGAACTAGGTGATATTTTAAAGTTTGAAGATGATTTGAGACTGGGCCACTTTCTGATACATATTTGGAAGTTGCACTTTTGAGCAGTTACTGTTGATTGCAGAGCAAGCAAATTGCATCTGATGAAATAATTCAATAAAAACTTTATGTTATCAATATATTTTTCTCAGTTTCAATGATGCTACAAGACCTCTTTACACATTGATCCAAACTAACATAAGTATGTTATTGATTATTTTTTTCTTTTAAGAAAAGAAATAACAATATTTTCATTATACAACACATTTCATAGAATCATAGAATCATAGAATCAAAGAGTTGGAAGAGACCTCATGGGCCATCCAGTCCAACCCCCTGCCAAGAAGCAGGAATATTGCATCCAAATCACCCCTGACAGATGGCCATCCAGCCTCCAAAGAAGGAGTCTCCACCAAACTCTGGGGCAGAGAGTTCCACTGCTGAACGGCTCTCACAGTCAGGAAGTTCTTCCTCATGTTCAGATGGAATCTCCTTTCTTGTAGTTTGAAGCCATTGTTCCAGTCCTAGTCTCCAGGGAAGCAGAAAACAAGCTTGCTCCCTCCTCCCTGTGGCTTCATCTCACATATACATGGCTATCATATCTCCTCTCAGCCTTCTCTTCTTCAGGCTAAACATGCCCAGCTCCTTAAGCCGCTCCTCATAGGGCTTGTTCTCCAGACCCTTGATCATTTTAGTCGCCCTCCTCTGGACACATTCCAGCTTGTCAATATCTCTCTTGAATTGTGTTGTCCAGAATTAGAAACAATATTCCAGGTGTGGTCTAACCAAAGCAGAATAGAGGGGTAGCATGACTTCCCTAGATGCTCCTATTGACATTTCTCTAAATACACTGGCCTTAACACAATAAGGCACACATAATTCTATTTTTTCTTGTGGATTCTCAATTGTACTTTACCCTCCGTCAGACTACACCTATAATAGTGTTGTAACAGGCGAAAGACTTAATATACATTGTCAGTCTTACAAAGATTACACAAATTAAAATTTCCATGTATTATTTGATGCAAATCTGTGTCATACTTTGCCTCAATCAAAATGAGGAAGACTTTTCAGTGCAGGCAAAGTATTTTCCACATATATGGCGTATAGATGTGCCGCAGTGGTGCAATGGGTTAAACTCTCGTACTGCTGAACTGCTGACCTGAAGGTTGGCAGTTCAAATCTGCAAGATGGGGTGAGTTCCTGCAGTTAGCCCAGCTCCTGTCAACCTAACAGTTCGAAAACATGCCAATGTGAGTAGATAAATAGGTACTGCTTTGGTGGGAAAGGCATAAGATGCTCCAAACAGTCATGCCAGTCACATGACCTTACTTACTTACTTAGGCGATCCCTCGTTGGCTGAGTAGGATAGTCTTCCAGGATCAGAATTCTTGTGAGTCTGTAGGTGGCAGTGGAGCCCTATTCTTGATCTGCAGCTTCTTCCGAAATGAAGGCATTGGTTTCCAGGTGGAAGGCGGTCTCGGTCGGGGTAGGCTTGACGCGCCTTCCTCTTGGCACGTTTCTCTCTTTCGCCCTCCATTCGTGCCTCTTCAAATTCTGCAGCACTGCTGGTCACAGCTGACCTCCAGCTGGAGCGCTCAAGGGCCAGGGCTTCCCAGTTCTCAGTGTCTATGCCAGAGTTTTTAAGGTTGGCTTTGAGCTTATTTTAAATCTCTTTTCCTGTCCACCAACATTCCGTTTTCCATTCTTGAGTTCAGAGTAGAGCAACTGCTTTGGGAGACGGTGGGCATCTGGACAACGTGGCCGGTCCAGCGGAGTTGATGGCGGAGGACCATCGCTTCAATGCTGGTGGTCTTTGCTTCTTCCAGAATGCTGACATTTGGCCATGCCAGTCACATGACCAGGAGGTGACAATGCAGGTTGCTCGGCTTGGAAATGGTGAACAGCACCTTCCCTAGAGTCAGAGATGAGCACTGCCTCCAAAAGCCAGAAATGAAAGAAGCCCCTGCCTTTGTTTGTGTTTGTGTGTCTCATTGTATTGTATTGTAACAAGGCACTGAATGTTTGCCAGTCTCTGTTTACACTATAATCCACTCTGAGTTCCCATGGGGAGAAGGGCGGAATATAAATAAAGTGATGTTTATTATTATTATTATTATTATTATTATTATTATTATTATTAATTGTATCAAGGACTTGCTTAGAGGACAGGGTTAATATTTTTCCATCCCTATTTCCATCAAGAAAATCAGAAATTTTAGCTAAAGGGTCTATCACCAGATCAAAGGGAAATGGGATTATTTCTTCTCTCTTACCTAAAGAGACAGGACGAGGAACATTCAATCGAGACTCCCTGCCAGCAGGTAAATGATGAGCAGAGGTTGAGTACTGCTGGAAACTAAATAAATAACATTTTCTGGAACAGAGCTACCTAGTCCTGAGTCTCCAGTTTTCACTGCTCGTCTTCAAGAAGGAGTTAAAGCTACCAATTCTCTAGTTTTGGTGAACTCATATTTGGGCAAAAGGAAAGGAATGTCTTCCTAATGTTAATTCAGCCAGTGGAACAGTAACTTGGTACAACTTTACAAAGTTTTGTGAGGAATTATGTGTACTCCAATTTAGTAATATGAGCAATAATTGTGCTTGTATATTGGGCTATAGACAATAAATAGTACCGAGATGGCGGGACTGGTAAGCTGAAACCTGTTTGTGAAATATTCATTTCAAGCTACAGATAAGCCATTCTGGAATTTAGCATATTTAGGCCAGCCACAAACCATGGTTGACTTATTTTGCTGCTATAAATCTTATCCCAGGGGTTGGGTCCCAGACCTGAGAAAATAAGGTATAAAAATGTAATAATAATAATTATGATATAATAATAATAATAATAGGTGAAATGTGGTCACCATAGTTGTTGTTGCCAAAAGAAAGATACACTATGCACTCAACATTTCTTCTAGTGTTTACTCTAGCTTAATATAAAGTTGATGTTTATATAGGTTGAGTATCCCTTATCCAGAAATCCTAAATGCCCCAAAAGCCAAAATTGTCCACATGGGTGGCTGAAATAGTTCCACCTTTGCTTTCTGATGTTTCAATGTACACAAATGATTTCATGCATAAAATGTGTATAAATTCCTTTCAACCTAGTTATAAAAGGTGTATATGAAACATAAACTAATGTTGTGTTCAGATTTTGGTACCATTTACAAGTTACCTCATTTACAAGGTCCCCTGACACTAAGTCTAGTTGTGTCCAACTCTGGGGGTTGGTGCTAATCTCCATTTCTAAGTCAAAGAGCCGGTGTTGTCCATAGACACCTCCAAGATCATGTGGCTAGCATGACTGCATGGAGTGGCTTTACCTTCCCACCGAAGTAGTACCTATTGATCTACTCACATTTGCATCTTTTTTAACTACTAGGTTGGCAGAAGCTAGGGCTAACAGCAGCAGCTCAACCCGCTCCATGGATTTGAACTACTGACCTTTCGGTCAGCAAGTTCAGCAGCTCAGCAGTTTAACCCACTGCACCACTGAGGGACCATACCTCATTTTGTATGCGCTAATATTCCAAAAATCTGGAAAAAAAATCTGAAATTCAAAAGATATATGGTCTCAATAATTTCAAATAAGGGATTCTTAAATGTGTATTTGCATTTTCTTCCTAGCTACTCATCAACCACCAGAGAACCTCAGCACATATTTAACTATTAGGACATTTATGATATTGTTAACTTATTTACTAAAAACAGAGCAATTAACTTAATAATATCATCTTGGAAATGGAGTGTGGAATTTGTAACTTGTCCATTTTGGACTCTCCGTTTTCGAAACTGCTAGAAAGAAAGAAAAATAACTGCAAAAAGAGAATAGAAGCCAACGTCCGGTTCACCGGATACAAGTTGGTTTCTTATCAAAGACCCATATGGTGATCTCTCCATAAATAAACCTACAAAACCACATGCAAGAGCAGCCAAAGAAAATGAAAGAAATACTCTTAAACTACAGGTCACACCATAAGGGGGTTGCCGCATAACCACTCAAGACTCCTTAGGAGCTTATAATAATCCTATCTGGGTTTGCCAGGATCACAGCCTATAAATTAATGTTGCTCTAAGTTTCATATATTTTTCCAAGAGGTCTTCTACCCAGTTTCTGTCCTCATGCATTCATGCACCAAAAAGAGTGAATCGCAGCGCTCTCTGGACCATCCTCCAAAAAAAATTGGGTGCCCTAACAAATTTGTCAACATCCTGCGGCTCCTCCATGATGACATGATGGCAACAGTCTTGGACAGCAATGGCTCCCAAAGTGACCCTTTTAAGGTGGAACCAGGTGTCAAACAGGGATGTGCTATTGCCCCAACCTTATTTTCCATCTTCATTGCTATATTTCTTCATCTTGTTGACGGGAACCTTCCTATCGGAGTGGAAATCATCTATCGGACAGATGGCAAGCTGTTTAACCTCAGCAAACTGAAAGCCAAAACCAAAGTCACAACAGCATCTGTTATAGAACTCCAATATGCTGATGACAATGTCATCTGTGCACATTCAGAAAAAGATCTACAAGCCACTCTAAACACCTTCGCAGAAGCAAATGAGAAGCTGGGCCTCTAATTGAACACTGAGAAAACCAAAGTGCTCTTCCAGTAGGCACCAGCCAATCTCTCTCCAATGCCAGAAATACAGCTTAATTGTATAACATTATAAAATGTTGACCATTTCCGCTACCTTGGCAGCCACCTCTCCACAAAATTCAGCACTGACACTGAAATACAAAACCGCCTGAGCTCTGTGAGTGCAGCATTCTTCTGAATGAAGCAGAGAGTGTTTGAGGACCGGGACATCTGTAGGGATGCCAAGATGCTTGTTTATAAAGCCATTGTCCTCTCAACACTGCTATATGCATGATTGACGATGGAATCGGACAATGATGATTTGATGATTGACAATGGAATCGGACAATGCTTGACAATAAGGAGATGCCAATGATGTTGTTTTTATTGTTGCTGTGGTTTATGTAATTTTAATGTTTTAAAATTGTATTGTGGTACTATGTATACTGTTTTGTTGGAAACCGCCTTGAGTCGCCGATAGGCTGAGAAAGGCGGTATACAAATACAGTAAATAAATAAATAAATAAATAAATAAGCCTGCGAAATGTGGACTGTGTGCAGACATCATACGCAACTCCTGGAATGATTCCATCAGCGCTGCCTCCAAAAATTCCTGCAAATCTCTTGGGAAGACAGGCTGACAAATGTCAGTGTGCTGGAAGAAGCAAAGACCACCAGCATTGAAGTGATGCTCCTCTGCATCAACTCCGCTGGACTGACCACATTGTTCGAATGCCTGATCATCATGGACTCAAAGCCAACCTCAAAACTGTGGCATAGACACTGAGATCTGGGAAGCCCTGACCCTTGAGTGCTCTAACTGGAGGTCAGCTGTGACCAGCAGTGCTGCAGAATTTGAAAAGGTATGAATGGAGGGCTAAAGGGAGAAATGTGCCAAGAGGAAGGCATGTCAAGCCAACCCTGACCGGGACCGCCTTCCAACTGGAAACCAATGTCCTCACTGCAGGAGAACATGCGGATCAAGAATAGGGTTCTACAGACACCTATGGACCCACCGCCAAGACACCACATCTGGAAGACAATCATCCTTGAGTTACAAGGGATTGCCTAAGTAAGTAAGCACCAAAAAGAGTAGAGAAGTTTACCTTTTTGAACTTAAAATCCCAGAATCCTCCAGCCAGTGAACACAACCAGTGGCCATGTTGACTGAGAAGGTAAGAGGGGGATGATTCTGGAAATTGTAGTTCACAAAAGTAATATTTCCAAACTCTAATAATAAAAAGGTAAGTCCCTGAATGCTGAAACATTTTCTCAGTGATGAATGGCAGTTCATACAGCATCGGTAGATATGGCTTTGAATATTCTCCAGGTTTTAGTGAATGGTCTAAAGGAGATGTCGAGGGTGTTGGCATTTGATATATTTAAACATATGGTGCTCCAGCTATTGTATGATAGAAAATCCCAGCATGCCTCATCATGGATAATGTTTATCAGGGCTGATGGGAATTGAATTCCAACAACATGGAGAGGACCATACCATTCCCGTCTCTGCTACATACTAGCAGCAAATTCACTCTCTACATGTAGATGCTTATGTTGCTAAAATGGCACCACCCATGTACTAAGAATTACGATCTCAGCATGCTTAAGAGAATCCATATTTGCAGAAGCATTTTTAAAAAACCAATTTAAAACATGAGAAAGCAGGGGATACATTCCAAAATAGCTCACTGAGGCCTGAGTGAGTTTAGTATAGACCACATTATTGTTTTCCCTGATGACTCACGTCTTCTCATGATATGTCCAGTTAGTCATCTTGACTTCTAAAGAGAATTCAGGCTTGAGTTATTCTTGGACCCATTTGACCCATTTATCTTTTTGGCAGTCCATGGTATGTGTAGGATTCTCCTCCTCTACTAAATTTCAAACAAGTTCAGTGTCTTCCTATCAGCTTTATGAGAAAATGTCTCTTACGTTGCCTTCCTTCCTTTCATTACACTCTAAACTCACAGACAGACAGGAGTTGAGCATCCAGAAGAGCACATATGATTTCCTTACCGAGTGGCATTTTCCAAAGCTCTGGAGAACGAGGCGTATTCAGTGGAGGAGTGCTGCAGGGAATAAAACCAAGTGGCTGCATCTTGCACAATGGGGTCAGCATCTTCTCCACCCAAAGAGTTCTGGAGAGCCTGGTAGAAGGCTGTTTTGCTGTCGCCACGACCTTGGCTCTCTTCAAATTGCTAGTTTGGAAGAAAAATGGATCGTTATCTGCCAAGATTCCAAATACTGCATGAGACCTATCAAGATCAACCTATCACAAGCTTTTCATTTTTTCAAAAAAGTTGTGAACAAAGGGAGAAACTGGAGCATTTGAAAAGCAACTGGAAAAGTGGGACATCAGAAGAACTGGGACTGTTCAGATCCAGATGGCTGGTATCGAGCCTAAAGCTTATCAGTCCCCCTTTGGGGGTAGAGAAGGGTGGGGTACAAATATTTGAAATAAATAAATAATAAATAATAATATCACAGTTGACTGGAGAGTAATAATGAGTTTGAGTGAGCCTGTTCCAATACAGATCTGTCCTCTTGATACACTTTCTCTCGTCCTTTAGTGAATTGTCATAGGGAGGGAGCAAGCTTGTTTTCTGCTTCCTTGGAGACTAGGACGCAGAACAATGGCTTCAAACTACAAGAAAGGAGATTCCATCTGAATATTAGGAAGAACTTTCAGACTGTTAGAGTCGTTCAGCAGTGGAACTCTCTGCCCTGGAGTGTGGTGGAGGCTCCTTCTTTGGAAGTTTTTGAACAGAGGCTGGATGGCCATCTGTCAGGGGTGACTACAATGTTCCTGCTTCTTGGCAGGGGGTTGGACTGGATGGCCCATGAGGTCTCTTCCAACTCTATGATTCTATGAATGTTAACCCCACTGCTCATCCCTTTTGAGTTTTCCCTTCAGACACACACTACTCCATTTACTTATCTCACCCAGGGTTTTATCAATTTTAGCCTGCGCATTTGGCCCGCCCGCTCTATTTTTATTACCCCATCATTTAGTTGTGTTTGCTTATTGTATACTTGGTATTGTTTGCATTTTATTTGATGTTATTACTTGTTTGTTGTATTTTACTTTGCTGGATTGTAACTCTTGGGCTTGGCCTCATGTTAGCCACCCCGTCCCCTTTGGCAGAATATAAATAAAGATATTAGTATTAGTATTAGTATTAGTATTAGAAACACAACAAGATGAGTCCACAGCAGACAAGATCACTCTGCTGGCTGTTATATTGAAGCACACGTCGGACACTTCCCAAGTGTCTAGGACTGTGTGATGTATCGGCGAATAATGTGTGCATATCCCAGTAATGTGGCCTTTTGCAGCTGGCAGATGGTAATTTTGTCAGCACCGACTGTGTTTAAGTGCAGGCCAAGATCTTTAGGCATGGCACCCAGTGTGCCGATGACCACTGGGACCACCTGTACTGGTTTTTTATGGCAGAGCATTTGCAGTTCAATTTTGAGGTCTTGATAGCAGCTGAGTTTTTCCTGTTGTTTTTCCTCAATGCAACTCTCACCTGGTATGGCGACATCAATAATCCAGACTTTTTTCTTTTCCACAATCGTGATGTCTGGTGTATTGTGTTCCAAAACTTTGTCACTCTAGATTTGAAAGTCCCACAGTATTTTTGCATGTTTATTTTCCATGACTTATGCGGGTTTATGATCCCACAAATTCTTTGCTGCTGGCAGGTGGCACTTGTGACATAAATACTATCATTATTATTATTATTATTATTATTATTATTATTATTATTATTATTATTATTAGGGTAGTGGTTCCCAACCATTGAACTTCAACTCCCAGAAATCCCATCCATCTTACCAGCTGTTAGGAATTGTGGGAGTTGAAGTCCAAAACACCTGGAGGCCCAAAGGTTGGGAACCACCGCTTTAGGGATTGGAAGATAGTACATAAGATTAGATCAATCTCATTAGGAGCCACACATAGTGTACGGATCATGGACCAGTCAGAAATCCAGGTAGCAGCAATGAAGGTTGTCAAGCATCCTCTCCAATTCTAAACGTAGCCAAGAGTTTTTGTTCTTCTTTTTATAAAAAACGAGTCTTTTCAGATGAAATGTCTTTAAAAACAGAAGGTAAGGAACATTTATTGCAATTAATCGGTTTCTCCTAACCCCACGTTGGATGGAATTATTTCCTGAAAAACAGGTAAGTTGAGCATTCCCTCTGCATTGCTTTGTTGGCGGCAGACGTGTTATTCGCTCAGAGAGCTGCTCTGAATCATCTTTCTCCAAGTAATTCCAGAGAAACTGACATTTAATAATAATCCACATTTATTTCTTATCATTGGCTTGATTTGTGCAAAACCGATACTTCTGTTCTGTACTTGTGGGCATCTTGTTCTAGATCTCAACATTTGGCAGATTGACATGGTAGCTGTGCTTTGAATGGACTGCTTTAAATGGCAGATTGGATCTTGCATGGTGGAATGTTTTTTCACATAGTTTTCACACACACAAAAAGGAAAGACATCGAAAGAGATGCCAAAAGAGGAAATTAAGTGGCATGACGCTGCATTATATATCTATAAAAATTCAGACTTTCGTTTAAATAAAAATATAAATAGAGCTAGGAAAATGTATTGTCGAAGGCTTTCATGGCTGGAATCACTGAGTTGTTGTACGTTTTTCAGGCTGTATGGCCATGTTCCAGAAACATGCTCTCTGGAACATGGCTTCTGGAACATGGCCATACAGCCCAAAGAACTAGGAAATATTATTTTAAGAACTTTAGAGAGCAGATGAAATGAATGTTTGAGACAGTCGAAAGACACCAAGCTCCATCAATGGAGTAAATTCATCCTAGTTAATAAAATCGACTTTTTTAAAACACAACTCCAGCATATGTAGCAAGCACTGCCAATGCTGGCCAAGGGATTCTAGGAGAGGAAGGCCCCAAAAAGGATTTTTTTCAAGTTCTCAATACAAAATCTGTTTAACCATAGTTTGCTCTACACAGGTGAATAGTTCATGGACAACCTTGAAGGTTCTACTTGCTCTACTTCATTATTGATCATCCAACCAAAACCTGAACTGGACCGCTCTTCCAAGAGAGGAGACCTTCTAATAGAGTGGTTCTCATCCTGTGGGTCCGGGGGTGTTTTGGCCTACAACTCCTAGAAATCTCAACCAGTTTATCAGCAGTTAGGGTTTCTGGGAGTTGAAGACCAAAACACATGGGGACCCAAAGCTTGAGAACCACTGTTCTAATAGAAGACAGCTCTCTGTAGCCCCATCTATACTTCCATATAATCCAGTTTCTGAATCCAGATTATCTGCTTTGAACTGGATGTGCTGGTACATCTGTACCAGGAGCTCCAACTTTATTTTCTTTCTATTAAGTGTTTGCATGCATTCCAAAGTTTCAGGGATTTTGCAACAAGGTAGTTTCCTTTGATTTGCAGTCATAGGGCAAGTCATAGGGCAAACTTATCATTGTTAAGTTTGGATCCGCCCCTTCTCCCAGGGAGATGAGAAGGGAAGAAGGGGCCATTTTTAGTTAGTCTTAGTGAGGAAAGCTAAGTTAGAGGACGTGGACAAGCTTCACCTGCAGAAAAGCTTCATTTCTCAAGACATTCCGGGGGGAAATTTCCAAAGCTCTGGCTGGGAGCTTGCAGCCTCTCAGCCTTACAGCATCTGAGGGAAACAGCCCTAAAGTCTTAAAGAAATTCCAGAGGGAAAACAGCTTTACAGACCCAAAGAACTCCAGCTGGAGAATCTACAAGCTTTGTCTGGTAGGTTTACTCGGTACCAAGACGCAGTTTGGAATCGGTAGTAGATCCCACACCAACAAAACTTAGGTAACAGATAGTCTGGGAGAAGTTAAAAAAGGGTTTTCCTCTCAAAGTATAAGAACAGTTAACGAAGACAGTTGCCTGTCCCTTGTGGACAAGATTAAGGAAGCCACCAGTTGATTTAATGCCTTGAAGCATTCGTTTGACTCATTGAAGATTTGAGAAATATCTGTTTAATTTGTTCAATAATAAAGGACTTTGTTTAACCTTTCAAGCCATCTAAAGACCATTTCTTCAGGAAAATCCTTGAGGGCCTCTTTCGTGGTGCCCTGGCTTCCCACTGGGCACAAGGTGCACGTCCTATTTCAAAAGACAATTATTACAGGCCCAGTGCGTGACAGAATACTGGACTATATGGCAGTGTGGATGCATATAATCCAGTTCAAAGCAGATAACCTGCCTTCAGAAACTGGATTAGATGGCAGTGTAGATCCAGCCTGTGAAGTAGGGCAGGTGGACACAAAAACCAGCCTCACCAAAGAAAACTAGGTAAGTTAAGGAGAAGGCTGGGCCAAAAACCTCTTCCCTATTTTCTACTTTTCCTCATAAATGGAATGCATGAAGAATTGTTTAAGAACAACTTGTTTCCTCATCTGCTGTAAATGAGAAGGAGGTCTTCTTCTGGACAGGTTATTTTTAGAGCAGTAGTGGGAAGTATGAAGTTCTCCAGATGTTGCTTGACACAGCCCTGGCCAGCACAAACAATGGAGGGGAATGCTGGAATGTACAGCCTTAAAACATCTGGAGGGACAGATGATTCCCACCCATTTTGGAGGTGCTACACGTGGTTTGGAGAGAAGCTTAAGTATATTCCCACAATGCAAGCAAGGAAGCAAAGCAGAAAAGAGAGGAAGGAACTATAACAAGGCCAATGAGAGCCAATGTGATGTAGTGGTTTGAGTGTTGGACTATGACTCTGAGAGCGAGGGTTCAAATGCGCACATGGCCATAAAACCGAATGGGTAAATCACACACTCTCAGGGGAAATCAAGGGAAAACATCTTCTGAATACATCTTGCCAAGAAAATTCTGTCATAGGTTTGTCATAGGGTCGTCATAGGTCTGAAATGCCTTGAGAGCACCCAACAAATTTGTCGCCTGGTCTGCCAGGAGTCACAATGAAAGCTTGCAGAGAGAACAAAACTATATGGTTATTGTCTGTGCATATGTGTAATATTGTTGATTTTATAAGGAAAATATTTTTTTGTGGACATTTCAGCATAGGAACCTGAATACTTGCATAACAATATACACATGACTGTCTGGAAATTGTGCTCTTGTGTAAACATCCACAATTCTAATTTGGAACAAAAAGTCATTTGTATGTCATCACGCAAAGTCTCTTGAATTATTTCAGAATGTGCAAAT